TTTATATATATTATTATTTATATAATAAATTTATAATATATAAATTCAATTTATTATATTGAAATTTGTTATTTTTTATTTATTTCTTTTGTTATATTTATTATTCCATATATTTTATTCTTCTTTATTTTTTATTTTACGAATGGTTCCCTTATTCGCCTTCCAGTAATTTGTAATTTATGGTCCCTCATTCCCCTTCCATATTCCATATTTTTCATTTCATAATCCTCACCTCCCATTCGCACTCTATACGCAACGCTTCACACTCCACACTTCAAACTCTACCGTACACTCCACCCCCTTACTTCTCCACTGGCTACACTCTCCACTTCACACTCCAGACTCTGCACCCCCCCCCACTCCACACTCCACAATCTACAATGGGACGGCAAGTTGCCAGAATGGTGCAATAACTTGTTCCGAAGAGTGCTTCAGGTAATGTGCATTTCGGGTTCGTGGGTTGGATCAAGTTTTTTTAAGCATATTAGATCATTATACCGTTTTTAAGTATACTTATATTTTAAGAGTTATCATTATCATTTCAACTACTTCATTGTGTCATATAAGTTAATAAACTCATTTTACGATTGTCAAAATTCCAATCAAAAGACCAATGTACTGAGTTTGTTCAACGTCCATTAGATATATATATATATATTTATTTATTTTAATCCTATGCGAATATATATACGTATATATATATAGTGCGAAATTCCCCCAAAATTCGCTACCGTTGGGAAAAACAATTTCATTGCGTAAAGGGTATCCGTTCCAAAACAAAATGTAAAACAAAGAAACCTAAATTCTAAAGTGTCCTCATACGTCACTTTTGTAAATAATGAATTTAGCGTAGACATTTGAATGATTTTGATTGTTTTGGCATAGGTTTGACATATTTGAAATTATCTTCGAATTTATTCAAAATCAATCTATAACATGTCAATGGCCATTTCAGGAACCTAAATTGGAGGTACCTACCATATATAAGGCCTATTTGTTAGGCCTATGTGAGGGGGATATACCATGAATTTATAACATTGTAGCGTATGTTTTCAAAGAAATCTTCCAATGTCCGGTCCCAGCAATGAACTTTGAACGGCTCCCACAAGTCCTGACAAGGCAGGTGAAATCTCCAAGTTGGCTATCGATCTATTTAAGTACACCTACATAAGGTTACATGATGTTACATGTATATTATTTAGGTCATTATGCATGTCTTCCCGTATCGTATATATATATAAATAATTACATATATATATAATATATACTATATATAATATATATATATTATATAACTCCTGATGGCGCTGCCACTCCAAGTCCCTCTAGCCGGGTCCTTGCGCAGTCCATTACCTTAAGTACCAGAGGTAGCTGAGCCGACAAAAGTTAGGATTTAACCAGCAACATACGGGAAATTCTAATGGAGATCATGGTAATATGTGGTAAGAATGCCAGTTTTCTTATGGGATTCAACTGCGATCAAACGGGAAAAATGACGCTACAATAGGGGCAAAAAAATCAGATACAATGGGATTTTGGGGCCAATAATATCAATGGCCATTCCAGGAACCTAAATTGGAGGTACCTACCATATATGAGGCCTATTTTTTAGGCCTAAATTTCAGGGAATATTCCCCCGAAATATGGCCCAAGATATGGTACTAACGTACCTCCATTTTAGGATCCTGAAGATCTCCCATTGAATAATAATGCTTCCCTGTCGGCGTCATCAGCTACATGTCTACCTGGGGAATTCCGGTTGAAAAATTGCAATCTATGGGAGAATCATCGGATTTCCATTCGCTAGCTATGTTGGATTACCAGAGGCTATCCCGTGAAAGAAGCTGCAAATATAACGGACGTTAACGGATTATGTGGAAATACATGGGAATATATGCAAGAATATCTTCTGGAATATGGGAATACATAACTTATAGACTTATATCAATGATGGCGATGGGGTTGAGATACCGACGGGTCAGGTCTTCAATGGGGAACTGTAGGGGACCCACATGCCGTTCTCATTATCTCTTGTTTTTTTTCACTATATCACCCGTATTTCATGCACATCGCCAGCTGGATTGCTATATTTATATCACTGCTGGATTGCTTGATTAGTGAGGGGGGGTGGTGTGAGAAGACCCGTCGATATCTTCAATTTAATCCAGCAATTTCCCAGGATTTCCCAGCATCTTCACAATATTTCCCATGGTTCCCAGCCATCAAAAAAAAACGCCCAGCTGAGCTGGTTTCCACCGCGGCACTCAGCCAGGGCTTCAACGGTCCAGTCCAGTGAAGGATCTTGGCGTCTTGGATGGCCTCCTGTTGATCTGCAAAACTTGGGGGCCGCATTGGGATCATTAATGGTTAATGATGATAATCTTAATTAATTATTGGGATCTTATTGATGGCTAAAGTTTAATCATTAACCAAAAACATATGAAATAAAACATATTAAGACTGTTAACCACTAATTATTAGGGAAAATTCCATGGGAGAATTAACTGTTACTAATGGCTAAAAACACATGTTAATAATGGCTAATTTGTTTGATCATTTCCATGAGAATGGGAACAACAATAATATCATGGCATAAATGGTCAAGGAGGTGGCTAACAATGGTTAATCATGTCATAAAATAACTAGTTATAATAATGGATGGTCATGCTTATCCTAACACATCATTATACATGGTTCATAATTGTAGTCAATGATTGTTAACACTGAATGGTTAATGATGGCTCTACTGATGGTTCATAATGAATGATGATTAACAATGACCCCCATCATTGAATGATTATGGTGAATCTGAATAATGATCAAAACTGTATGGTTAGATCAGGGGTAATGGTTCTAATTCATGGTTAACCATATCATCCATATCATGGTTGGCGAGAATCATTGTTAATTCAAAATTCATGATTCATAATTTCCAAATTCAGTGGTTAATGATTATTAGCTGTTCATGTTATCATGCATGGTAATGGTTATGAATGATGGTTCACAATAAATAATGATAATCACTGTCAAGAAGAGAAATGTGATAATGGAGAATGGTAATGACTCTAATACTGGCTCATGATTGCTAATGATGGTTCTTAATCATGTTTCATGATAATTGCACACATATCATATATGTTCCGTTATTTGGAGTAATCCTACCCCTGATGATGTTGAATACCACCCAAACTGAATAGAACCAATACTTAACCAGGGTGGTTCGTTTGAAACGCGTTTAGTAGTAGGGGAAAGGAATTATGTTGGTTGTGAACTCTGCTCTGTATCATCTATACATGTGTACTTACTATGAACTTATTAGATATGGGTATGGATCAATACCTATTAATACCATTTTTAAGGGAATGAACATCCGTTTACCCTCTATTTTGATGTTCACCAGGGGTACAAGGTTTTGACACACTGCCATATTGAGATATTGATCAAAACTGCAGATTTAAACGTATCCTTTTGATGGTGAAATGTGGTGGGTACTACCATGGCTCCAAAACTGCGGATCAGGGACAAGCAAAGGCCAAAAGGGGAAATCCATCAGGGACCTTCATCAGATGTCATTTGGAAACATTGCGAGAGACGCCTCAGAGACCAAAATTTAACTTTGAAAACATCTTGAATCTTGAAGCCCCAAACATTTCCGTGGTGAAATCTTCTGAGAACTGGGAAATCATTTTGAACAAAGATCTATGTCTATAGGATATATAGGATACCAACCAACAACATGGCCATTTTGGTGTTTCCTGTTCATTTTCCCAAGAAAAATCCACTGAGTGATCTTACGCCGGCACCTCGGACCGGCCGTTTCCATGGCCCAGGCCTGAGAGGTTTCGGAGAAAATCTGGGCGTTTTAGATGAGAGATATATAAATACAGTGATTTCCCTATGGACATATTCCCCATTATAGTGTGTTTATATGAATGGAAATCTTACATAGCTGTAGATGTAGATATAACTGTATTGATACTACTGTAAAAATATTACTACATTTGCATTACTGCAAATAGTTAGATATCGTCATATTCATATATATATATATGTATATAATCTAAATGGATAATATTTACATGGAAATATCTACAAGTTTCAATGTTGGGTATATATAATATATAGTACTTTATATTGAAATATAGTTCAACAGTATCTGGCTTAAAAAGTCTGCACTGTTTTCAGTGTTGAAAGCCAGCTGTCATTTCTGGAGGAGCCATGCGAAGTCAGCCCAGTCCAGTGTGGTCCAGTTCAGTGCTGTTTGCCAGCGAAGTTGGCTTATGCTAAAAACTGACGCTTGGGTTTATGGTAGATGTATGGTGTGTGTATATATATATAATAAATATATATATATATATATAGATAGATCCAAAGTTTGGTGAGTTCAGAAACCAACATGTATCTGAGCACCACCTTGTACCCATTTGTATCTCGATTGTCAATCTCATCATTCACCACTGATTCCTGATATGAACCGTCAACTTGATCCTTGGGGTTCCTTGGGATTCTGAAGGAAAACACGGGATTTGGATGGAAAAATGGCACCAAATTCCTGCCTTTCTTCTTTATCGACATCAAACAACACTGCAACGCCGGAATCCACCCAGCGACCGTCCACATTCCACACGTCCGGAATCCACTCCACGCGATCGTAGAGCAACAAGAGCAGGGGTGGTTGAGAGCCGTGCCTGACCATGGTGCCATGGTGACTGGGAATGCAATAAAACATGGCTCGGATATGTCATGGATATTTCATGGATATGCCATGGATATTTCATGGATATTTCATGTTAATGGACATTTGATATCTACAAATATAAGATTTCATGGACATTGCAAGTCACCACTAGATATCCATTTGAATCCATTAAATATCCATTCAGTCCATTGGATATAACCCGTGGATCAACATAAATATCCATTAAATTGTAAAACATGGAGGTTTGATCTATCCTACAAGTAGAGAAATGGTGATGATATTGCCTGATATTGCCAATATTTCACCATCTGAGAAATGAGGGGGTCAAAAAACAACAAACATCAGGACATGATGAGAATAATGGGGATATTTCATGGAATAGATACTTATAAAGCCTACCATATGTATGAAAGTTGAAAATTGCCAATCTTCCACCCAACATTTTGCGACTTATCTTACGTCTTACTTACAAAACAGTGATATTTTTAGTTGTGATCTGACCAGAAGAAATTTCTATTTTAGTGTATATGTTATTATATTTCTTATATATAATTATAGGTTATATTGTAACAACTTAGTTATTATATAGGTTATATTATAACATGATTTAATAACTAATAACCAATAATATAATATATAAGAAAACTATATTGGTTTAGCGGGTGTTATATAATAATGCTCACATTGTTTTAATCTATGGGGAACATGACGGTTTTAAACATGAGATCATGAGTGTACCCAATGAAATGGGAACATAAAAAAATCCTTCACAGCACTGATTTGTTTTATGGGAACATTGGGCAAGCTCCAAATGCTTACAACATGTTCAACCATCAAATTTAGAGGGTACCCAATTTTCAGCAGAGGGATTTACGATGAAACATAGGATTTGTCCGAGAAGTTGAACATATAGTTGATAGGTATCGGTGTGGAAATTGGCCACTAGAAACTACAATTCATATTCATGAAGTATCAGATGGTTGGGAAACTCCTGGTAGCTCCTTAGCTCCCCATTTAAATGGGGAATATTGGGGAATTTGGATACCCATAGCTCCTTAGCTCCCTCCAAACCACTGGATTTTCGGCTCAAACAATGAGGAACAGGGGAGCAATTATTTTGAACCAGAATAATATTGGGGTCAAGATGGGTCAAGCATCCCACCAGGTGAAAGCTCTGAGTTCGCAGGCTCCACAAGGTTATACCAAAAGCGGTAAACGAACCTGGCACTTCTTAAATCTCGAACCAAGATTGTCTATGCTTCACTGGTGGTATACCTACCCCTCCGAAAAATGATGGAGTGAAAGTCAGTTGGGATTATGAATGATTATGATATTCCCAAGTGAATGGAAAGTCATTCAAAATTCCATGGTTCCAGTCACCACCAACCAGCTTTCTGCTTCAGTATAACATCAACATCCACCATTTGTAGATCATTTTTTCAATGAGAAACCCATGGATTTCCATAGCCATGTTAGCACCGGGGCGATATATATATATACCAAACCATTGGAGAAGCTTGTTGTCCCGAAAAAACACGACTACTTGGCTTGGGTACCTGAAAAAAATCGGGAAAAACTGTGCGAGAAATTTCGTACCGAAAATCCACAGCTGCTTCTAAAACCTCTATCAAACTTCCATCAAATCCACTCAAATCCAGTTGAAGTCCATGAAAATCCATTCAACATCCACTAAAGATCCACCAAAAAAATATCGAAATTCAAAAACACCATTAAACGATGTTCAAAAATCCCATCAATCCATTCACCACCATAGAAACATATAAAACATCTCCGGGGACAACGAAATCTCCCTGGGAACCTCCATAGGTCGCGGCCAGCTCCGTTCTGCTTGGCCCAAAGGAGAACCTGCTCCGTGACCTTGAGGTGCTCCTTGTGAAGCGGGATGAAAAACCATGGAACTTACCTCTGGTAAACATACAAAAAAGTATGGAAAATCACCATCTTTACGTTCGGTAAATCAACGAACTAAAGGTGCCATTTTCAATAGCAAACTGTTAAATTACCAGAGGGTAAGGGGAATTGACCGGAAAAAAACAGGTGATGTATGAATTCACTTGTTTAGTAGGACTTGAAAGACGCATTCAAAGGGATCTTAACATAAAACAGTCGTATCTTCAACCAAACATATGTATGGCCTTCACCGATTGAAGAGAAAAACATGCATGAACACCCCACTTGTGTGTCCAGGAATGTTGGGGGAAACCATAATTAAAACATAAATGGTTTAGAACATTAACTTCCCCATTGTGTTTTGGAAGCTTTATGTTTTGTTTAGTATGATATGTTGATAAGATATTAATCATGTGCATTGACAAACAATTCTTCTTTGGTGTTTTTGGGAGGTTGCGCACGTGATACAGACAAAGAGAACAGTAAAATAACAAAATATATAGATGTTTAGAGACGCCATGCCAGTATCTTGGAACTGATGGATTTTGACTCTGTGGAAACACCCTCAGATTGCGGCCTGTTCGATCGTTTAAATTCACACAAGTCTGGATCAACCAATGGTCAAATAGGTACAGCTCCAATGCCCTTCGCATGGCTTATCTTAGATACACTGCATATAGTATCTTACAGTTTATTAATGTTGATGTTTCCCGCTCAAACCAGCAACATTTGAGATTTTACTGTAAGATATAGTGTATATATACATATATACATTATATATATATATCTCTATTAAATATTATTTATAGTTATTTATAATCAGTTGAAGCCGCTTGGTCTATCTTCCCCCTTCAAATAGCAACACTTTCCGTTCCCCCAGATCTCTACCCACTCATTGGGTCCAAGATTCCCATCGTTTCATGTCGATGACCATGACACCTGCGCCGTCAACATGATGAATTCCCTGTGCATTGCTGGAAAGGAATTCTCTACAATGTGAGCCCCCCCCAGTTCTGTGAACGTTGGTTAACAAAAGCCCCAGTAACTATAGTTATAAGTACCATGAACCATAGTTACTGGAGTTCTGTTCACCAACTTAGCTATCGAACGGGGGCCTTACATTGTATGATGTTGCATTCTAATCCCCATTAATTTCCTAGTTGGTGGTTGACCTACCCCTCTGAAAAATATGCTCGTCAGTTGAGAGTATGACATTCCCAATATATGGGAAAATAAAATTCATGTTCCAAACCACCAATCAGTTTCCATCAGTGTAAGTTAGGAGTTGTAAGATCGGAAGGTCAATCCCGGCTGGGCTAGATCACCACGATCCGTGCCTGTAGGCAAACCAACGTTGCCGAACTTCTCCCGAAGCATCGTTTTTTTGTATGTTGGGTACCAAAACCAAATCAAGCATCATTTTAAGTTTTAAGCATATTTCAGCAGCCAAGATTGTTTTTCTTGACCCCCCAAGTCACCAATATTCATCATACACCAACAGTTTCCCTAAAAAACACAGCAGTTCCTTTCCGATTTCCCAAACATCCCCGGCCCAGTGGCTTTCCGTACGTGGCCTGCGTTAAAACTGGGAGCACTGGAGGGTACCCAGATGGGCATCTTGGGGCTGAAGACCTGCGACCGATGGGACATCGATGGAGACATTATGGAGACGGGCTGCTCTGGTGTATGATACCCATGTCGTTAGCTATTTATCCATATCTATACTGGTTGGTGGTTGACCTACCCCTCTGAAAAATGATGGAGTGAAAGTCAGTTGGGATGATGACATTCCCAACTGAATGGAAAGTCATAAACACTGTTCCAAACCACCAACATATGTATAACATATGTATTAAAATGATCTCACAACAACCATGGTATTTATCAATATCAATTTACCCATTGTTAGGAGATTCACATGCCATGGTGCCATGGTTCCATCTTTTTACATCGAAGCACTAGGATTGTGGGAAAATCACTGGCAGATTCAGCAAGACTCAGCGTTAGATCACAAGTTATAAGCTGGTGAACAAATGCCAAAAAATCTCGACAAATTGTGTGGCTAGTACATTTTACATCATTTTACCATTACGAAATCCAAGATGAAGTTCATTAGTTCGTATCTACCCAGTCGAGCGTTCTCACCTTTAAGGGATGGTCCTCCAATCCCTAGGATCCCTAGGATCCCGACAGCGTCCTCACCACATTTGGTGTTGAAAAACTGTGATTTGAACATGGGCTATGGGCTGTTTCAATCATGTCCTATATATGTCCTATATGGGTAAAAATAGAGCTTTGGGGTATATATGGTGACTGGTATACCATCTATCATCATTTACCTGCTGTTAAAGGGGTAAACAAGCCCCTCTATTCATCAACCAACCAATGGGAAAAGGACATCTATGGGCTGTTTGATGATTTACCGTTCTGAAAAAAATGCTGTTGCAATACAGAGAACTGTGAAATCACCAGTGGCATCCCATTGCTGGTGGATTATCAAATCAAATCTCTTTCGTGGTAAGATGCCCAGAAATTGTGCCATACACAAATCATCAGAAGGTATGCCAAATTATCCCATAAATAATCCATAAATAATCCATCATAATCCCATCAAATACCCCAAAAATTTCCATATTTCTCATATGATCCCATAAAACATATTGGACCTTGACAAGGTCGAGCCGAATTCGACCCGGCCTTCAAATAAAAGGAGAGAGGCAAATGCCTGCGTGGCACTGCCGCCAGCACCGCCTGGACGAGACCGACGGAAATCATCGGCTTTTAATGGGAAGATATGGGAACATATGGGAACATCCAAAAAATGGGCATGTTCATGGAAAAATCATTGAACTATGGGACATAAGGTTTTTTTTTTTAGTTCGATGGTTTTCTCAGCTATAAAGCTAGGTATGGGTATGAGTAAAATATACAATATACGGGGAATATTTTATGAAATTCGGTTGATCATTGTAGGAAATTCCAACCTTTAATGGAGAAGATCTGGGAGAATGTGGAACATCCAACAAAATAATATGGGCCATATGGGTATGATGACCCCATTTTGGGGTACCAATTGCACCCAGAGAATTGGTACATTTTTTGGTCTTAAACCATTCAATTTGGGGAATATAGTATTACAGAGTATCACCAATCCGCGTGGTGGTTGAAACATTCCCCTGAAAGACATACACTTGTCAAGTGACGTCAATTGGGATCATCGTTCGGGGTAGGCTATCTTCAGATACCCTCTGGTAACTTCACATAGCTATGGAAGCCATGGCCCATTTAGCTGGATGCACATAATCATTCTTTAAAAAATGTGATTTCCATTTCGCAAACTGTGAAATTAACAGAAGCTACATGCACATAATCAGGATAATGCGGATGTGTATACCAGTAGTTTGTCTGGAGATGATTGGGGAAGAAATGAGCAACCATGCACTGCCAAGCATGGGATGTGTCAAAAAAATGTAGTCATGTGGGTAGATCATGTATATGTATACATATAGTTATACATATATATATATGATACTGTAACATGGTTGTTTAAATCCCCTGACTTTTGATGCTCAAGTTCTTGGAGTTTTAGGTATGCTCGAACCACATTGGACAATGCCTGACAATTGGGGCATCAAAGGACAAGTTTCGAACCAACCTATATATCATATGGTTGGGAGACTCTAGCTCCAAGGACCCAAGAGTCTGCCTGTTTTATGTTTCGGGAATATGGGAACCTCAAAAGTACAGTATTTGGGGTATGATGACTTATATAAGTACCTTCTCAGACAGTGTTTGGATCCATAGGGATAGATACAACATGATACAACCATAGATCAGCTGCTCCACACCTCACTTCGGCTGCTGAAGGCCAGATCATGCAGTTCACAGACCTCGGTGTACGGACCTCAACACTGTGTTGGTCAAGTACTTCTTTGGTACCTCTATGGAACCCCACAATTGCCATTGTTTCATATCGTTTGCATTATATATTCATATATATTCATATTTATATCTATATAATTTAAATATGATTGATCCTCACCGGAAGGTTATACTTTTGAGCCACACCCGAAGGTGGCTGGAGATGTAAGGAAATTGCCGAATGATTTACCCTCTTGGAGGGTGGTACAATCGTGGTGCAGTTCTCACCACCCTGAAAAACCAAAAAGTCACTTGCGAAAATCTTCCATGGGCTATACCGCTATACCTAGCTCCTCAAAGTAACCATGCAAATTAATAGTTTACCCATGTTTACCCCCTAATTTTCGTACTTCGATATACTTCGACCCCGTTTTTATTGGTCTGGAGCGTCTAGGTAGTTGTGATTTGGGATGATTCCCCAATCCCAACCATCACTGGTTGGTGGTGCAATAACCATCTTGAAAAATATGAAAGTCAATGGGAAGGATGACATCCCATATATTATGGAAAATAAAATTTCATGTTTGAAACCACCAACCAGATCATCTACATTGATCTGGGTCAGTGACGTTGGACTTTAGGTCGAGGTTTATCCGAAGAAAGGGGACCCCCAAATCCAGTGATTTATCATGTTCCCCGTGAAAACGGAATGTTTCTGCAAGGTTTGGGTTATACTATGCTGACAGGTTTAGAGTTTTGAAGAATGTTTTTTTTCCCATTATATAAGATGGAATGTTTATGATTTTTTCCCCATTAAGATGGAATGTTTATGGTAAAACATGGTAAAACTGTTTATAATAGCCAGTTTCACTTCAATTTCTGGCAAATGCGGCGCCATTCTTCACATCCTTGAGCCATCTCACATCGCCCTTCACGATGACGTCTGTGTCCAGATAGATGATCCTGCAGCGAATGTGACCTCACCATGGTTCTATGATGAATAGCTCTTGGATATGCTGGGATACTAAACATGGATAAACAAATTCCAGATCTACTAAACAATCACATGCAATCATTGGATATGCTTGGATACTAAAAATGGACGGCAAATATATATATATATATATACATATATAATTATATATACATATAACAATCACTGATTTACCGATTTAGCATTCACTTTGCCCTGGACCCATGTTCAACCCAGCTATCCCAGCTCCTATCGGCTCGAATCCATCTGCCCAAATAGAAACGCACGAAGTTGTGCGGAGCGTTCAGGTCCCCGGTCTTGGGCAACATGGGCATTGAAACAACATGAACTGCAATGGGAAGTTCAACCAGAAGATACCAGAAGGGTTTCAATTAATTGAACATATATTTATTATAACTAAACCACTGTAATACAACTGTTTAGAAAGTTCAACAACAACGCAATAGACCTTAAGGGAATCTAACCAACACGTTTTGAGACAGTTCATCAGCTAAACACGAAAATTCAACCAGGAATTCCACCACCAAAACATAGAAATTGAACCGATACAAACATGAACTTAACCAATTAAACATGGGATTTAACTAACTAAGATGTGAATTAAAATTAGCTTAATTAAATGGAAGCTTAAACAACTTAAACAACATCGGGATTTTCTTATCAGAAGTCGAGAACCCAACATTGGATGGTTTCATAATATAATAAAGAAGCTGTGCGACACTTCGGTGTCCTCGGCTGAATTGGGGTTCTTCATTATGTCACTTGCCTCCATTGGACATTGCAGTTAAACCGGTGAACATGTTGAACTCCCCCATAGGATCCATGGTGCTGGTATATATGCTAACATTTAGCTTGTTGGTGGTTGACCTACCCCCCTGAAAAATATGAATTCGTCAGATTGGATCATCATCCCAACAAAATTGGGCATTTTTCCAAATGTTCCAAACCACCAACCAGATTTGGGGTATATCGATGGGATCCATGTTACCAAACCACCAACCATAGGTCCGTTGAGCTCCCCTTGGCATCCTGGTTAGGTTGCCAAACAATGACTTGAAACATCTTGAAACTCTGTAGGTCTTGGGTAAAACTCAGAGTTTGCTATGGAAAATCACCATTTTTTCAGTAAATCAACTATTTCTATGGGCCATTTTCAATACCTATGTGACAAATTACTAGAGGGTAATTCCTCATTTAGACTGGTTACATCCCCATGGCAATTGCCAGAATCTATTTCTGGTTGCTTATTAAATCCACATGTTGGTTACTACATGTTACTACAAGGTGCATATTTACTGATCAAATCCTACTTGTTTGCTTGTCAAACCCTGTTTTTGCCCTTGAAGTCCCCATGTTCATTCCTAACACCTACTTGTCACCTGCTCGAACCCCCCAGTTGTTTCATGCTTGAATCGTGTTGTTTAACCTGAAAAGTGCGGGTTATGGCTTGACCAGCCTCAGCGGTCACACCCTCATCCACGACCAGATCTGCAGAGAGCACCTCGTCAGATGATCATAGATGATCTACAGGGAAAAATGTTTTTTTTACGTGTTTTTCCACCATTCTGAATGGGTTTCCTGTACATTTCCCCATCCACTTTTGGGAAGATGATGTTTACGTGACAAAAATGGTGGTTTAACCCTATAATCATTGGATTGCTTGGAAATTTAACAAAAACAAACAATATCTGGTGAACTAAGAATTAGGATATGACCAGAAAAAAATTGGGAATTGAGAAAATCAATATAATTATAAATCAAAAAAAATGCGTGAAAAAATCCATCATCGATTGATCATGGGCCGATTTCAAACAAGGTGTTGTCTGATGCACAAAAATGGTGGCGGCCGGGGATTTTGCAACATCGAAATTGACCTGGACAGGCTGGCCATGTTCAGTTCAAGACAGGCGGCTTTAGATCAGTTCAGACAGTTTCAACAATTTTTTGGTTATATAGTGGTTTTAACCATCTTGAAAAATATTAGTCAATGGGAAGGATTATCCCCATATTTTTTGCAAACATAAAAAAAAATTGAAACCACCAGCCAGATTTTGAACTACACCCCGAATATTCCCACTTGATTATTTGATTCAAGAAAATTCGGGGCAGGTCCGCCCAAATATTGGATAATATTGGAACATATAAATGAACATGCCAAAGGAGAAACGGCGAAGACTTTTGTGATCATGGTCCTATTCAGGCCAAAGTCGGCTCTCTTGAGATCATCTGCATTGTCCCGCAGATGCAACCCAGCTGCGCCAAATGAGTGCGCCATTGTCGACACACTCGCTGAGACTCCCCATTTTAAAACATGAGAAAGGTCTTCCATTTGTTGAAGGACATCAGCTTTCTTCCAAGCTGCGAGCAGGCCCACGTTCCCATCAAACATCAATTCGTGCAGTTTCTGATTAAAAGCCATCTTGTTTGGGAGCTTGCTCAAAATTTGCTGAACATCTTCAGGGCCCTCATATTCTCCACCTGTTGCAAAATGTATTGCCGTGTCATTAAGGTGGCCTTGTTCCTTAGGAAAAGGTTTCTGAGCCATTCCCAAAGGATGCGCTTCATCCAACTCAGCAACACACCAGGCACGTTGGAAGAGGTTCAAGTCGGCATCCACTGCAAGAACTTCTGCAAATTTTGGACTTTTCTCGGCCAGCAGCGCCATCATGTCGAATTTGTTCATTTCACAGAGGATGCTCTCACCCTGTTCATTCAATGGAGGGTCTTCGTTGAAAAAAATGGTGTCTTGCATACACACACACACACTGGCTGGTTGGTGGTTTGAACCACTCTGAAAAATATGAGTCAGTTGGGATGATTATTCCCAATATATGGCAAAAATGTTCCAAACCACCAGCCAGCTGGATGTGGGATCTTGGTGATCGGATCGATGTCTCCGTCCGGGTTTGCTCCACAGATGCCTGCATGCTGATTGACGGCGAAGGCACAAATCCAATAGGTGTCCTGAAGACGTTTATGAACCTGGAGGGCTTCTGTCAAAACCTTCACGCCTTCTTTATCGCCGCACAGGAGTCCAGCAACAAGTTCAAAGGATTTCAAAGGTGTGTTCTCCCAAAGCATCAGCAATGACTGTAGCCATCAGGTCACGGAAAAGATTGGACCAATTGTGAGTAACCATCTTCCCAGGTATCACCTGAATTTGGCTCAAAACCAGGCACTGCTGATAGGCTCACAGAGTATTCAACCCCGGATTAACTCAACATATAGGTCAGTATGTTTACAGGTCTTGAATGAAAACAAACAGTTTGTTTTTTTTGAACATGTTTGAACTCTAGCCACCTTCTTGCCAGAGTACACCAACTCGGCAAACGAGATGCCTGCGGAAGTCTGAGGAATAATTTCGAGTCTGACCACGTCCTTGGTGTGGACTGCTGGGTGGAAGAACATCCTTTCAGAGTCAAACAGTCTGCAGTAAAAGTCCACAAGGTTGCCCTGTCGGACATTCCGCGACCGGCCAACTCCTCAGTCTTCGCCTCCCACGCCAGTTGCGGAGTCTGATGGATAGAATCCGAGGGCTGGAGGTTGAGACGATCTGAACAACTCAGCTTTTGATAATAGAATAACACCAACATTCACCAAACTGCTGACACACTGCACAACGGTAAAAAAAATACGAGGGACTGGGGTTCCAACGAATTTGATCAAACGCGCTGTCAATAGGGACAGTGCGTGCTTCTATAAATGTTTCGTATATGGCAGCAACAAAAGGAGCCGTGGTGGTTGCCAAGCTGGAGATGAAGCCCTTCGTCTGCAGAGAAGTGCTCCTTCTACATGCAAAGCTTCCGTGGCAGCACCGTTTGGTTCCCTGCCCTCTCTGCGAGCCACCTCTTCGGCTCGATCCAGAATTGAAATCACTCCACACATAAGGTAGACAAGACTCGGCAAGCCCAATACACAAGGTAAAGCACAGCCAGTAAAGAAGCGGTACTCACGTATTGTGAAATGGACGAGATCAAACGTGCCATTTCTTCAAAGGCCCGTGGTTGAGCTTCCCCTGGTTGGACTGGGCGGGGCACCAGATCAGTTGAGATCTGCGACAGCATGCAAATGTTCAGGCCAGAAGCGGAAGCCATGCAGCACAAGAGCCCAGCTTCAAGCCAAAGGACATGTTGCAAGGAGATGCCTTTTCGAGGCGAACTCAAGTCTGGCCAAATCCTCCTGAAGCGATCGTGGATGAGATATTGCAAGCAAATCACTTCGAAAAACATAACCACTGACCTCCACGTAGGCGCAAAGATGCAAAATAATCCTCCAAACCAGTAGGGCATCAAGAAACGTGATGCAAGAAGAACATGTTGAGTGGGAGCAATGCTCCAGGTAGCTGCCATTCCAGCTACCGTATTGCTCCCAGCAAGGGCCCAAATAAGAATGAAGGAACTTGGATCTTCTGAAAGCGACTTGCCAAGCAAATCCGAACACTTCCATCCAACTGCAGACACGCAAGTGGCGAGAAACATGGCTACAGCAGGAAGGCTTGCCTGAGCGCATCTCAGACGCCAAGAGATTTGATCCATTTCATGCTGCCTCGACTCATCGTCTCCATGATTTGAAGCTTGTGATGGAGGCTCTTGCACAGTTTTCACTGCTTCCTGACGCGTGGAAGCGACACCTCCAAGCAGCACCGGCGCTGGCAACATGTGGCCGAAAAAGCGAAAAGGGAACGATGGGCGACAAACGGCCCGGCACAAACATGGGCCAACAATGATCGTTTGGTGGCAACATGCCCCATAAAACCTGAAATAGTCCGAACATATCCGAGATTGAGTTTTTGTGCACCATGGCCCATGGCCAACCATGTTGAAAAGTCATCAAGTGTGAGATAAATTGACATCACCCCACCATGTTGGGTGGTCAAACCTACTAGTACCGATTTGTTACTGGCACATTGTAAACCCCCTTCGTTTTCATGGTGAAATTCAAACGTTTATGTTGATTAATCAAATCTCAAACTTTGTTCCTTAAATTCACCGTTTTTGTTGCTGTAATAAATCTCACTAATTATTGGTTTAAATTCCATTGAGTCCCATTATTCCCACCACATATTCCGTGACTTTGTTGCTTAAACCCCAAGTTTTTGAGTTGAAGATCCACAGGTTCAAACCCCGGCCTCCGCTTCACTGAAGATGTGCACGGCAACGGCCACACCTGGGAACCAGGAGAACTCTGGCCAAAAATATGTGGAGAGTGAATGGATGTTTTTTTTTTTTTTGCAGTAATGCTATATATGATATAAACAGTATAATTACCATATTATATATATACTTATGTTTATTTATGTAAATATTTAAACACATATATACATATAGTTATATCATACATACGCTTTTCTAATATACATATATATATATGTTATATATTATTATACTAACTACATATATATATATATATGTGTCTAAGTTCTTATACATCATTCAAATGTTATTGTAATGGACATATGTCATTATATGTTCTTCTTCTTATGAATATGCTTATCATTATTATTAAATATATTATCATATCATATATTCATGTTACTATGATTATGTATCTATAATATATATACATATATATATTGTCATATTTCACATGAGTTATTTTACCTGTATATTGTATACAAACTGACATATATTAAATACGTTCTGACATGATATATACATGTTTGTATGTCGATATTATGTTAAATAAATACAAACTAAATAAATAAATAAATAAATAAATATATATATATACATATGATTATAGGTATGATATTCTGTTGCACATATTGCACATATTGTACACACACATATATATATATATGTGAAAAAAACACACTGAACGCATCGGATGATTGTGAGGTTCACCACATCACCTGGCCATGGCTTTCAAAAGAAAGGGCCCAAGGCTCGGCCCGGCGACCAAGGCCCAATGGAGTGGCCATCATACGGTGGATGGTTGCGAAATCCTGCACCAGTTGATAGGTGGTAAGCATCCCATGATTTCAAGGGCTTCAACCATCCCAGGTGGTGCGCCGGATTTCGCTGGCCCATCCCAGGTGATGTCATCATAAGTTTTTCGCATTGAAATGGCCATTTGGAGGGTACACCCCATTGACAAACCATCCATGGACGTTTCTCCCAATATTTAAAGGCCGAAAAGCAATGCTGATCCAACCCCCCACAGCTGGGCAAAGATGCCATCGATCAAGAAGTTGTTCTCACCCTGGCCCTGCCATGCGAGCTGAAACCAATATGTGGGTCATCGATGGTCATCCATGGTCAAACCATCCAGAAAGCTGCGCATTAAAGAAAGCCATCAGCAACCCACAGAGAATAGCGAAACTGTGAGGTAGTGTCATCCCATGGCCAGGTGTATGACATGGTAGCAACATCCACAAAGTGGTGCCCCGTTTCCAGTTGTATGGTGGATCAATTCCGTGAAGTACTTCGATATCTGCCAGAAAGCCGCTGATGTAAACGCTGAAAACCAACTGAAAAAAAAAGGCAACCGGTTGACTCGGCGCCCTTGTAAGGGTGACGAATTTGAAATTCTGATTTTTGAGGCTAAGAGACAAAATGCTGGTATTCGCAGGAGTCGTCAAAAAATGTTTGCAACATGGACATTCATTTCGGTTGGCAGGTGTGTGACTCAAGAGTGAAAATGTGCGTTTCGCCTGCGCGGTGGCTCGATTTTGCTCTTCAAGGGCCAAGAAAAAAACATTAGAAATTTATGATTTTCAATCATCCGAATCATATCAGGGCGACATTCACTCTTCCAGTTTTTTCCTCTTCTCGACGCTAGCGGTGCCAGAGCGCTTGTGGCAATGCAGAAGCCACAGTCTGCAACAAGGCAGCGTTGTGACGCCATGTCCAGCTGTAGGCCCAAGTGTACCTTTTTTTGTACACTTTTTTTTTTGTGGAGCATCGACGGAGGTCGCCATTTTTTCAAGTGCTTCCATGTTCCATCCATTTTTAGGGTACCAGCAACAATGGCTCTATAGGATTTATCCCACAAACGACCTCGAAAATGAATAGTCTTAGTCTTAGTAAAGATATTTTGTTTGTGGTTGACTTGGGCCAACTTGAACCTTTTGTGGGGATAATCTTTGACACAATGACACAACTGACAGCATGTGCAACGTTTGCATCTTCCGTAACGTAAAGGAAGTGTTCGTCAGGGACGTTAATACACCCCCCCACCCCCCACCCCCCTGATGAACATACGACAGCATGCGCAACGTGTGCATCTTCCGTAACGTAAAGGAAGTGCTCGTCAAGAACGTTAATACACCCCCCCCATCCCCATCCCCCCTGATGATCATACGACAGCATGTGCAACATGTTAAAAACTCAAAAAAATCAAATCCTAAACCCCCATTTCCGCAAGCCTCATTTTTGAAATTTGCAACCCTTCCAAGGGATCGTAAATGGCACATCTCAAAATTGGCAACCCTTCCAAGGGCGCCGTATCAGCCGCATGCCGTAAACTACCCTCTGGTAA